CTCCATATTTGTGGGTAAAGAATTCGCAAATTTGATTATTTCTGGATTATGGTATTTGCTACTAACTTGGCTGAAATAAAATGTCCAGAACTACAGAGACTCTCACCCATTTGGAATTCTTCTTTTTCTTTCTTTTTTATTATTTTTTAAAAATTATTCATTGATAATTTTTCTTGTTAGGATTTCCCAACATTCAATAAATTGTTTTTCATCCACTTCATTAAATACTTTCCAATATGTCTTCCATCTTTAGAGACTACATACTTCTTTCTTTACAAACAACAGGATTTCATTTTACAAACATTCATGCCAATTCTCTGCAGGTATCTGTTATCTGGCCCGTTTGTGGACATAATATATATTGTTAGGCCAAGATGATCAGGGCCTTTAGGCATTACAGATACTTAAAAAGGGCTCTGCAAGATCCCATTTTTGTTGTTCACCTGGAACAACAGTATAAATAGCAAGCGAAGAGGGCAGGGAAGTCACTGTGATCATCAGCTTTTTACTGCTGTCATTGTAGCAGATGCATTAAAAATCATGGCTGTGATAAATGTCAGTGACCTCCACAACCACCTAATCTCTGTTCTAAATGAAGAATTTGACTGAGATTTCCCCCTCCTCTTTTGGATTTGAGTTTTCCCTCCTTCATCATGCTGAGCCATAAGTAGAGAACAAACAGTGAAAGAAGATGAATCCTGTAGAAAGTACACAACTCTGTGAAACAACTGAAATGAAGACCAAATAACTCAAGAGAAGCAGGGAAACAAATAATAACATATGTCTGGGGCATCACCAATGTGATCTAAGACTTTATTGCACAACACGGGCATTGTAGCTGGACTGTCACCAAAAGTGACAGTTCCTATCACACAATACTCTGTGCATCCCACTACCAGTTTGCCTTCCCACTGTGATTTTCCCATCCCTAGTAATTAACAGGGAAAAAGTAGGACTAGGCTGGGAGTAGTACAGAAAGACAGGGTTACAAGGGTTTGCAGATGTGTAATTGTGGGATCATAGATTGACGGACTAGCAGAATTGCACTAATGAAAGTGCTATGTTGAAGGTACTCAATGCAGTATGTATTAGGGGTGTGCATTTTGGGGGAAATCCTTCCTGAAATCCTTCCATTTTCTAACACACACACCATCTGTTTTCTGGGAACTTTCATTTTTCGGAATGGGTAATATGCCATTTTTCAGGAAGGCGGCCAGTCGGATTTTCAAGAGCAATCCTTCCATAAGAGGCAATGGGGAGGCTTCACGGGCTCCCTTTTCCATCATTTTAAAGGTTATCAGAATGAAAGTGGCCACACTAGGAGGACACAATTACCACTGTAAGCCCCCCCCCCCCGCCTCAAGTTTCAAAACATCTGGTTATTCCACCATTTTTAGTGATTTTTTTAAAGTTTCATGATATAAAATGTATTTTAAAAAAGAATCCCAAAGTTCCTCCTCCAAGTTTCTCTCTGGAATGTCTGCACAGGGTGGAGCACCAACAGCAGGACAGAGAGAGAGAGTGTGAGTCAAAGGCATGAACATTACAAACAACTTCCAACCCAGCCCTCTGACTACTGCACTTTCCCTTGCTCTTCCAAGGAATCATTGCACTTCCTCTGAGCCCGGACCCAGTTTCAAATTGGCCAGACAGGGTATTGTTTTTATGATGTTAATTGATTTTAATGTTTTTATTATTTGTTGTTATTGTTTTTACTGTGTCTGTTTTATTGTAATCCTTGGGCTTGTCCCTCTGTAAGACACCTTGTGTCCCTTCATGGAGATGGAGGCGGGTTATAAAAATAAAATTATTATTACACAGCAAACAAGGCTACTCTGCTGGCTGTTGTATTGGATCACATGCCGGACACTTCTTCTGTGATGTATTGGCGAATAATGCATGCAGATCCCAGTAGGGTGGCCTTTTGCAGCAGACAGAAGATAATTTTGTCAGCGCTAATTGTGTTTAAGTGCAGACCAAGTTCTTTAGGCACTGCACCCAAAGTGCCAATCATCACTGGCACCTTTACTGGCTTGTAAGTCTCATTATTATTATTTGATATATAAGATTGGTACACAGCTCTTTTATATGGCTACCATCCATTGTCCATCTCTGCTGGTGTTGCATATGTCAGTCCTTACTAGAGTAAACCAATTGTTAAATGGTGAACAAACACAGACATTCCATGAACCTATCCTGTTTAGCAACAACAAAAACAGGCTTGTATCGGGCAACTTTATTCTGGAAAGTGTATTTGGGGGATCTCTTTTTTATGGATGCCTATTTTTGCAATATTGAATTTGGAGCTACAAGTGGCGTTCCAGGCTTTTTTGAAATCATTCCTTGGAAAGCTATCCATTTTGAATAACTATGTTTTCTGCAGCTGTTATGAGTTATTTCCTGCAGGAGATTGATACAGGCTGGATGCTAGTTTGGATTAGAATTTCCTAAACACAAGCTCCAAAAATGTAAATAATGGATTCCAGAAAAGTATAAATTATAAGGATTAAATTAGGAAAAAATGTGTAATAAAGAAAGTGTGCTACTGGGCAAACATTACAATACCAGCCTAAACACCTGCATTTCTATCAGCATTGAAATATGAGCAGATTAAAACTCCTAGCAGATGCACTGGTTAATGCAATCAGAGTGGCAGGCAGACAAAGACTCCAAGCTTTGTCCAGAGTGACGACATATTTGTGATTTGTTTTGATTGGATAACACAAATGAGACACTGCCAGTGCCTTTGTTTTCAAAGGACAACTAATAGCTGGGTGAAGGTATAAGAGTAAAAAAAAAAAAACAAAACCAAGAGGCTAAAATTGGATTACTTTTCTGATCACCATATAAAGAGATATCTGAAACATAGCCTCCAATCCAACAGTGCCTGATAACTGATAAACTATCCAGATATGCAGGTGCTGATAAGAACCAATTAGGGAAAATGGGATTGTCCATGCCATATTTCCCATTCATCTGTATGGTTGTGAAAGCTATTAGGAAGGAAATTTGAAATGTAGTACTGGAGAATTCTATGGGTACAATGAAGTGCTGAAAAGATAAATAATCCTGGACTAAATTAAACCTGAACCCTCCCTAGATGCCAAAATGACTACACTGAAACTCTTATATTTTAATCATATCATGTGAAGACTTGGACCACTAATAAAACACAATACGGTTGGTAAGATAGAAGGAAACAGGGCAAAAGGAAGACCCATTCCAGATGGATAACTTTGGTCAAGGAAGCTACAATTCTGAGTCTGCAAAGTCTGAGGAAAACTGATGATGGTTGGGTGACTCATTCAAATGGTCACCACAAGCCAAAGTTGACTTGATGATAATGAAGTGCTCCTATAGATAAAAAATTATTCCTTGGTGGCTAGATGGTTATGGATATGATGCAAGGAACAGAATTGTGTAAGTTACAATCTTAATTAAATGTCTGCATGCCTTAACAGACACTAGGAAAGGTATGACAGAACCTGATACTTGCAATATTCAGTCCAACCCCCCCCCCCTGCCAAGAAGCAGGAAAACTGCATTCAAAGCACCTCTGACAGATGGCCATCCAGCCTGTTTAAAAGCCTCTAAAGGAGCCTCTATCACACTCTGGGGCAGAGAGTTCCACTGCTGAACAGCTCTCACAGTTAGGAAGTTCTTCCTAATGTTCAGGAGGAATCTCCTTTCCTGTAGTTTGAAGCCATTGTTCCATGTCCTCGTCTCCAGGGCAGCAGAAAACAAGCTTGCTCCCTCCTCCCTTTGACTGCTCTTCACATGTTTATACATAGCCATAATTGTCTCCCTCTCAGTCTTTTCTTCTGCAGGCTAAACGTGCCTAGCTCTTTAAGTCCCTCCTCATAGGACTTGTTCTCCAGATGCCTGATCATTTTGGTCATCTTCCACTGGACACTTTCCAGCTTAGAGTCAACATCTCCCTTCAATTGTGGTGCCCAGGATTGGAGACTGTGCGATTTCAGGTGTGGTCTGACCAAGGCAGAACAGAGGGATAGCATGACTTCTCTGGATCTAGACACTATACTCCTATTTATGGAAGCCAAAATCCCATTGTTTTTTTTTTTTAGCTGCTGCATCACATTGTTGGCTCATGTTTAACTTGTTGTCCAAGGACTCTCAAGATCTTTTTCACACAAAATATGCTCGCAGGCAACTTAAAAATTACAAAATAGTCTGCTAATTTCTCCACAGTAATATCCTGAGATTCCAGTACTTTAAAATGTTTAACTGAAGCATTGATGTTAACTCTGCCTGTCGGGATGCTACCACCATTATGAGCTAGACACCAAAGAAAGAAATACCCAGACATAATCCAGATTAGTTGACAGTTGCCAAAGGACCATTCAGTCTAAAGAGATAGGGGTGGCTAAGTAGGTGTGTTTCAAGTTTCATGGGGATATAAAGAGATTTTAAAAGGGCTCATAGACAGTGTAGAAAACACATTGGACTATAAATTGTGCAGTTGTGAAAAATGCAAAGATTCAAAGAAAACTCAGTTTATTTCCCCACATTAAAGTAATTTTGTAACAAGTGCTTCTGAGTGGGGTAATTAGTGACGTGTGGGGAAGAGTACCGGTAAACTGTTTTTGTGGTTGCTTGGGTTGGGCAACTAAAATATGGCAACCTAATAGGGGTTGCATTCCCTGATATCTCTAGTAAGCACGTATACGTGTTGTGTAAAAAATTGCTAAAGTGGAGGGAAACAAACACAAATAACCAAAGAAAAAGAGATAAGGAAAAGTGTAGAGTGTGATACCTGTGTAACTGGTACAAAATGAATGAAGATTGGAGGGCAAATCCTTTGTGGGAAAAAAGGGTAGGAATAAAAGTGGGGTGAATTAATATGCTCCTCACTCATACAAATCTGGGTAAAATAATAAGCACATTCCATTGGCCTCTTTCCTGATATAGGGATGTGTAAACTGGACTTAATATGCTAAATATACAGGAGGAGAGGGGTTAAAAAACAAGGGGGAGACCACTTCATTTAAAATATCTATTGAAATTACAAATAAAACTCTTCAAAATGATTCAAAGTACAAAACAACATTCAAAGGCATTCAACAGCTCTTTTATACATCACAGTGTTAGTGGCACAAAAATGTAGTTACATTTCAGATACAGAAACATTTTTACACTACTCAAATACGTAATTTATCATACATATGCATGACTCCCCGGTGCTTCTCCACAAAATGATAAAAATGCAGCCATGGAAAGGAATGAAGCAAGGTTTGATTGTAGGCCACATACCTATACCTAAAATTCCTGGATTGTGTTGAAAACGAATCAGTTACATAATAAAAGAAGAGAACCAGGATGGTATTTTAAACTGAAGTGAGACACCGTCACTTAATGGCAATGTGGGTCTGCATGATTGTAGGAGTGACACAGATGGAAATCTGCGCTCTCTGAAACATTGTGGAAATACACCTCCCAATCATACACAGCCACATAACTAAAAGTGAAGGATGGTGGAAGATGAAGTCCAGTAACATCTAGAGGGCCCCATATTTCCTGCAGGTCACAATACATATCATTGGGCGTACTGATTAAAACAAGCTCTCCAAAATATTTAAAGGATCAGCGCATGACATGGCCTGTGACTAGTTTGTATGTTCAGATCAAGGAGGGGGTAATACTGTGTTCTGGAATCGTTTTTCAAAAATGGAGGAATGCAGGATCAGCAATCCATTTATGCTGGTCTGGAAATAAGATCAAGTTGTTTAAAAACCCAAATCCATGGAAAAATTCAGCAGAGGGGAATTTTGCCAGAATCTCTTTTAAAAAAGCTAATCTCCTTCTACCAAATGTTTAAACTCATGCAAAAGGTGCTTGTCTTTCCCTTTTTGGCTTGTATCCCATTCTATGTTCTGCTTCCAAGTAGAAAGATAATTGTGCTAACCATTATCCTAGGCAGTTCTGTCCATTGTGTGTAATCTAAAGGGTTACATGAAATGCATGTTCTTTGAAAATTGGGATACCTGGTATATTTGGGTTGGAGGAAAATAACAGCTTTGTCTGGTACACGGATTTAAGGGATTCAATACATAGGAATAATATTCAAAGGCAGGGATATAGAACCTTTGGCCTTCTGGATGTTTTGGACTTTTAATCCCAGAAGACCCAGTTAGCATGGATTAAGGATCTGGAGAACCCAAGATCAACCTGCCATAAGGGCTTCCTAGAACTTTAAAATGGTCGCTCACAACATCTATGAAGTGTTATTGGTTTACAGCTGGAGAAACAAAGATATGGTCAAAATAATTTGACCAAACTTCACAGGGTCACACTTCATTTTTGCACCTGCTAAATGAAGCATATTCTCCTTTAATTTCAGTAAAACAGGATCTACAGCAAGGGTCGGTTGAGTATATGTGCAAAAAATGACTCAGGCCAAGAGATGGGTTGATATGAATCCTGTGTAACAGAAAAGTCAAATTATAACAGATTCTATTAAAAGTGAGTTTAAGGCAATGAATTCAAAAGTAGGCAAAAATTAAACTAAAAATGGAAACAACTAGAGAAGAACATCAGCATCATTTGAAAACATTTATGAATTACTACAAGCACATATTTCGAATTCCTTCACATTTAAAATTTCAGTAAGTACATATTACGTTATTCTCTGCTGTCATGCTGTAATATGCAAGCCATCAGATAATTGGCAACAAATAACAACTACCTGATTCAAGGCAAGGCTCCAAACTTTAGATACAGAATCATGTATCTGATATGCAGAATTTCAAAGCATGGCACACAATAAAAATATTTTTCCCCATTTAATTTCTTTAAAGAAAGGAATCAGCATGTGTTATGTTAGGAAGTATACCACTTCCAAGATATTGAACCAAGGATACAGTCCAATGGCAAATTGATATTACACTAATGTCACTTGTTTCTATACGACTCCAAGTTTAGATATTTGTTGTAACTGAATAGGCAAAATGCCTCAGGAGGTTCTGTGCATGTATGTGCCCACACATATTGATGCTTAAGTCTCAGTGCAATTTGAATTGCTAACCTCAATTTGTTTCACTGGGGTTGGACAGGTATCTGAAACATTGCTGGGCAAATGGTGACCCACCAGTTGTTTCTGGACTGCAACTACCATCAAGCCTAGCAAGCATGGCCAATGGGGAGAATGCTGGGCTTTGTATTCCAACCATATCTTCAGGACTCTTTGCCCACCTCAATGTAAAGAGAGAGATTGTAGAAACAGGATTCTTGTGGCATTTCGTTTTCTGAGCGAGGAGGTCATGAAATACACTGTTCTCTTATTTGGAAATCTAAATGTGTTAAGAGAGCTGCTTCAGCTCTCTCTCAAAATCATACCAAAGAGTAATAGCCAATATTCAGAGTGCGCTGATATTATCCTTATATTCCCTTGGGGAAGAAATGTAGCAAAAATATGAAGCAGCAAAATTATTAGGAAAAAAAATAAGATGGAGAAACAGATAAAACAACTCAGTTGTCACAGTACCGTACAGTATAAAATATAATTCTTTTTTTTACAATGGACTACGTAAATATTTTGATTTTTAGCAGACTTTACACATTAGCATTGCAAGCAATTTTTATTCATTGAAGCAAAATAAAGGGCAGGGGAAATCCTCACCATTCTCTTGAATTTGCATACTTTACGGCAGACTTCCCCACATGGCATCCTACAGATGTGGTGAGACTACAACCCTCACTATCCCCAACCGATAGGTACATGCTGGTCTGGGATGTTGGGAGCTGTAGCTTAGCACATCTTGAGGGTGCCAGGTTGGGGAAGGCTGCTTTGTAGGAGTAAGTTATTGTTTGCTGTTATCAACAAATTTGGAAACTTGGGACATTAGCAGTCCTCCTGGAATTAGCAGGCATAAGAGTACTCCATTTTCTATTTCTCCTTCCAGTCCTGGTATTTGGAGGATATTAGCCATTACAGGAGATTAATTTACATGCACATCTGTTGCAGTCATTTCCTCCCACTCCTCTTACAAGCAACTGGAAACTTAAGTAAGACAAGTCAGAGCACTGAGGAGGGAAGAGCGTGCATTAATGTCCTCCTATTTTGAGCACTGGTCAATATGTTTATCAAGGGATCGCTGTTTATTTATTTATTAGCAAGGAGGAAATGGGAGAGAGAAAGTGATCCCCATGCCTGTTTCTTCTCATTCACAGAGCAGTGTCCACATCAGAAATTATCACAACCATAATTACTTCTCTGCCATAAGAACAGATGAGTCATGCATCTCCAACCTTCACAATATTCAGGTTAACATCTATTTGTACATTTGGTTTTAAAGACTTCTATCCTGATATATTTATGAGTGTGTGTATGTATATATATATATATGTACAAAAAAGATACCTGATTAGAGGTAGCCCTATTAACGTAGCAGATAGTTAATAAACAGATAAAACAAGGCTGAGAAGAGGGAAACCAGGAATGTTTTTTCAAGCCGTTAATTTAGGCAGGTCAGGTGTGGCTCACATACTTCAACCTCAAATCTCTGGAAAAACAAAGTCCCCACAAAACAAAAACAAAAAAATAAAAGATGTCCAGCCAGACAAATAACTTAAAACCATTTTCCAAAATGTTATTAAACAGAAATGGCATCTCTCATTTTTTGAATAGTCAAAAACATAGAATGTCCTACTTGCATCTAACCCAATTTACAGTGATTTTGTATGTGAGAGAGGCAGGTTCAACATGGGGAGGATGCATCTGATATTTTCTTAGAGCAAATATGAACAGAAACTTTGCTTTTAATAAACCAATATTTAAAGTCGTGCTTTAATGGGCAAATTTTTAAATTGGTATGCCGTTCTTGAATAACATATATATTTAGTAGTAAGACACCTTAAATTGTTGCAGATATATATGCGAAGATTTCTGTCCTGATGGTGTCGAAATGATGATTCCAAGCTGATTGATGTAGCCTTTAAGTGAACAAGGAAGGAGCCTTGTGCTATCAACATACTTTTCAGACATTCAGCTTGCTTTGAGTCAGGGCGCCTTCTTCCCTTTAATCCCAGGTAAGAAGTGGTGGCAAAAGCAATTCCTGGCATTCATGGCACCTTGGGTCTTGTCTGAAGTCAGGTTTAGGGCGAGTAAGGCTATGAAAATGTTATGTGCAAAAGGAGAGCAGGGAGGTCATGAAATGTACTGTGATGAAGAGCAGAGTCCTATATCCTGTCCTGATTCCATCTCAAGTAGGGAGTGGGTCATCATCTCCTTTATTACACTTGCACTTGCAGCAAAGAACGAAGGGCGTCGCAAGTAGAAGAAAGGGTGAAGCCACTAACAATAACAGGCCAAAACCTGCAAAGATCCCCACCACCTGGATTTAAAAATAAAACACAAAAGCAAACAAAACATTAGAATAGGAATAGTGGCAGCTCTTTGTTTATTTTATTTAATACATTATATGCCTCCCCGCAAAAAACTAGGCTCAACGCTACTAAATTTAATAACAAGTACAAATGGACACACATTCATGAGAATATTGGTAAATACAGAAAGCAATTAATTTAGCAATAACAGTATGATCCCTGTATCTGTGAAACCCATATATATATAGTAAAAGTCTTGCATATCCAACATAAACAGGCTGGCAGAATGCTGGATAAGCAAAAATGTTGGATAATAAGGAGGGATTAAGGAAAAGCCTATTAAACATCAAAATACATTATGATTTTACAAATTAAGCACTAAAACATCATGTTTTATAAATCGACAGAAAGAACAGTTCAATACACAGTAATGGTATGTAGTAATTACTGTATTTACAATCGCAATGTATTGAAACATCTGTGGATCCAGGCGGAAGGCAGACTGCGTTGGATAATACAGAACGTTGGATGAGCAAAGATTGTATAAGCGAGACTCTACTGTAGTTTACTCATCCATGAGGACCCCCTGGGTAGCGAGGTGAGCTCCCGCTGTCAGGCCCGGCTTCTGCCAATTTAGCAGTTGGAAAACATGCAAATGTGAGTAGATCAATAGGTCTGCGGGAAGGTGATGGTGCTCCATGCAGTCATGCTGGCCACATGACCTTGGAGGTGTCTACAGACAACCCTGGTTCTTCGGCTTAGAAATGGAGATGAGCCCCCCCCCCCCCCCCGAGTCATACTCTACAAGACTTAATATCAAGGGAAACTCATACCTTTACCTTATTAATCCATGATTTCAATTATCCACTTAGGGTCCCTGTACTAGCTACATCCTCTTTTCAGTACCCCTGTTGTTCTTCCCACTGAAAATAGTAATTTTTGCTATTATTTCAGGTATCTATGCAAAGTCTAAGAAGGTATATGGGAGGTCATACTAAATATCAAATTCTGCTTCCAGTGGAAAGGAAGACAAGTTTGTTGATCTTTGTTATGTTTTATATTTCAGTGCTAAGGAGTTATCCCTCCTTCCCCTTTCTCCTTTTTTTTCTGGAGTAACTCACACAGATAATAACTAATTGGAAGGAATGTTGTCAAAACTGGTAACTGCAATTTTGTTGCTCCCTCTCTAACCACCATTCTCTTCTGAAAATCCTTTGGATGTAAGCCCTTTTCAGGATGAATAACAATTGCATCAGGAATGCAGGCACGGACTCAGCAGGGAAACAAGGGCAAGAGAACAGACAACAAGACACAAGGACTCTGTTGTGTTTCTCTAGTCAGGGAAGGTCACAAAGAGCTTTGGCTCTCTATTCTTTCTTAAGTTGCAAGCATGAGGATAGCTCATCTTAAGGTACTTAAAATGTCCTGAAGAGTGGGAATTCTGATAATGAATGAAAAGTTTTTGTGAATCCTTTCAAAACTGGCAGCCCTTAAGCAGCTGTTGAATGACAAGGTTAATTGGGACAAACAGAACAAATAAGTAGCTCTGTCACTTGTCAGACTAAATCAATGGATAGATTCTGCATCAGTGGACTCAAGACGGCAATCAGCTTCTTGAGCCTTGCCTAGAACCCAGGCTCAAGAAGCTGATTGGTACAACGTATGTGTGGCAAAAGCAATGCCATGAAATAAAAGTTTAAGGGCGACAACTCCTAGAATCCCCCAATCAGCACTGCTGCTGACTAATCAAAGCTCTTGTTCTTTCAGTCACAGGGTGAAGCCTGAGATGGCACAATGGGTTAAACCTTTGTGCCAGCAGAACTGCTGACTGAAAGGTGGGTGGTTCAAATCCGGGGAGTGGGGTGAGCTCCCATCTGTCAGGTTCAGCTTCTCATGCAGGGACATGAGAGAAGCCTCCCACGGGATGGTAAAACATCCTTGCAGACGGCCAATTCTCTCACACCAGAAGTGACTTGTAGTTTCTCAAGTCGCTCCTGACATGGAAAAAAAAGTCAAAAGGTGTGGGTCTTCAAGCATTTGCCACATGATCCTGGAAACCAAGGACTCCAATTCCAGAGTTTTCAGGAAACAAAGAACTCAATTTATTGTCATATGGACACAGATTTTAGGAAGTCAGTAATGTAAGATCTCACAGGACAAAGGTATTAGCGTGTAATTCCCAAGCCTTTTCCCTTCAACTTTAACACTTATTTTTAATTTTAGCATGTGTATATCCACAGGGACACACATAATCCCTCTTTCTCTCTTCAATATTTAAATATTTGGACTTTTGTAAGATATCTTGAGTTCTTAACTAGAAAAAAAGGTTGGATGATGATGACGACATCGGTATGAAGAGACATCACTATGATGGTAAAAAGGCTGACAGTACTTTTCCAAATGAAAACTCATTTATTGATTAGAAATCTAGTAGGCGGCCTTTTGACTCAATCCCTCATACAAAGTACTGGACATGGAGCTATATTGAGTCATTTCCATCCAATTCCTGCCTGGAAGGGAATAAATCCCTAAAGGAAGTAACTTTTTGTTTTTGCTGTTGCTTGGATGCAATATGGAGTGGTAAAGAACCTTAACCATGGACTTATAAACCTGCGTGTTTTACAGCAATATGATGAACCTTTCAGAACGGGATGGGCAACTGAGGAAGGGGGGAGAAGATTGCACATAAATTTACCTACCACATGCACTTCTGCATGTCGTAAATAGAATATAAACTAAAGGATATTTTTCTTTTTTAAAAATATGTTTATTGGTTCTTTTTGGTAAGAGAAAAAATAAAATAAAAAGAAAGTTGGGGATGGGAGTAGGTATGTGGGGTGATATGGCTGGGGGATGGGTAGGATCGTGGGGGGGGGGGGGGGGGGGGGGGGGGGGGGGGAGTTGTGCTTCCTATCTTCTGTATCATGGTATTTATAGTCCATATTATCTGTTTTGCTTCTGAATTTCTATTACTTCCTCTTTTCTGTATTCCAAAGGGACGATACTTTCCATTTAATTTCATATTCGTATCCTCATTTTTTCTTGTTCCATATATTTTGTCAGTGGTATCCAGTCCCTATCTTTTTGAGGTTTATTTTGTTGGTATTATAATTGTTGGGACAGCTGGTCCATACTCATAATTTCCACCATCTTTGTTTTTTTCCCCCCTCCATTTTTATGTTTATCATTCCCAATAAAAATTGTCTTGCTTTGAGTTGAAATTTTATCTCAAGGATTCTTTGGGTTGCGTCATGTATTACCCTCCAAAACTTTATTTTCACAGTTCCACCACATGTGGAAGAAAGTGTCTCTTTCCTTATCCAGTTTTCAACAGTTTCCACCCCCCCCCCCTGTTATGAGTGACTTGAGAAACTGCAAGTCACTTCTGGTGTGAGAGAACTGGCCATCTGCAAGGACATTCCCCAGGGAACACCTGGAAGTTTTACCATCCTGTGAGAGGCTTCTCTCGTGCCCCTGCTTGGGAAGCTGACAGATGGGAAGTCACTCCCCAGATTTGAACTGCCGACCTTTCAGTCAGCAGTCCTGCCAGCACAAGGGTTTAACTCATTGCTCCACCATGGGCTCCAACTAAAGGGTTGTGCCATGGGATTTGGTAATTCAATGTATATTAAACCTGAATGCCATGCTCAGCTTAAGCCACCTTGAGTCATTTTATGTGGAAGGGATACAGACTAGTTTAATGAATGATTTAAGTTCTTCAAATTTTTCAGGTTGCCAAGAGCAACTTGGGTAGCAGGTACTGAAAAGTAGGATTCCACTAATTTAATAATCTCTTTGCTCAATGGAGAGTATAGCAGAGGTGGCGTTTTCTATATTTCATGCTTGGCTTTTGGCTTACTGTAGGATTCTTGTTAAGAGTGTTTAGATTTGAGGGTTTCTTTTTGAAGAGTGGAAGGATCCAATTTGGGTTTTGTTGTTGCTAATTATGGTGACCCTAAGGCAAACTTATCATTTTCTATGGCTGAGAGTGTGTGACTCTCCCAAGGTCACCCAGCAAAGCTGGGAATCGAACCCTGGTCTCCAGGGTCATAACACAATGCTCAAACTGCTAACCATGCTGGCTCTCAAGCCAATGTTAACTACACATGAAAACATAATGTCCACGCTGAATTTCCTTATTGGTATTGAAAAATCCACATTCTGTCAGCAGGTGGCACTATTGAACAACATTCATACCAAATGGTGAAGCACCCACTTTAATATTATGTAAAGTTGGGAAAAGGACTACAATATTTTTGAAAAAAGAAGGGAAGAATAATGAATTTATGGTCATGTTTAACATGTGCATCACAGCACATAAAAAATAAGGCCTCTTCAGTCTACAAAATTTCATGTGATTCACTTATGAAGTGCCAGAAGCTGCCACACTGCAACGCTATGGCCTTAAGAACAATTATAGCCAACTTTCTCTCTAATATTATTCCATTGATAAACATGCCAGTTTTTACTTTCCAGCATACTGCAAGCTGGGTAATTTTTTTCTGTAGTAATTTAAGGATGCAATTAATCAGAGAAAACTTCAACAACGTAGCTGTTTCTAAAGTATGTTGGGGCGCTAAATTTCTTAAAAAGCACAGTAAAAATGACAGACCGCTGTAGTGTAAAGATATATCTTTAAATACTGAAGTTAGGAATTGTCCATGCCATCATCTTTCTGCTTTGCGTGGATGGTAGAAATTATATGGATACTTTGGGCTACTAGAACAAATAATTGGGTCCTTTTTCCTACTTCTGACCAGGAATGGAATGGGACAGCAGGACTTGAGTTGCAATGAGAGATCTGCCATTCAACATCTCTTGATTCCACTGAAGATTACTCTGTAACAGATTATTCTTCCTGTACTCTTAGAGTTACTTATGCAGGACTTGAAAAAAATCAAGTTATTTGTTTTCATCAATGATAAGCAAAACAAACAGGAAACATAATTCCTTGTTAAACTTCTTCCCGTTTTCTTTGTAGCATTCCTTTTCTAGCTCTCAACTCTCCCAAACCTGTATAGAGATAAGCAATGAAAAAGGCAGCACAAATGCTAATGAGCAAATTGATATCCACCTGTGTTCTGTGCCAAATAACCGAGGCCCTAGAGTGACCTAGCTTGTTTCGACAAGGTCCTTTGTCGTAGTGTATAAGGAGGAAGTCGTCCTAAAAAAAACATGTAAGAGAAGAAGGAAAAATACATTATTCAGTGGTATTAAGAGCTGACTCTCAGAGGAAAAAATATGCAAAAGGACAGAACCCCAATCTGTGTTTATACAGAAATAAATTGCATTAAGTTCAGAAGGCTTAAACCAGAACAAGGGGAGATAAGCTTTCAGAATTGGAGAAATTTATTTTCCTACATTCTGTGCAGTCCAGGGCAGCCATTCTTGGACAACCCTCCTTGGGAATATTATGAGACATGGTTGGGATGCAAAAGAACACAGTTTTCTCTCTTCACCAAAGGAAAGATGAAATTATACTAATGATGGGGATGGTTTGAATTTTACCCCGATCAAGAATACCATCTTTACACAATAAAAATTTATTTACAAAAAAATAATGTAATGGACTGCTGGAAAGGCTTTGGATGCTCTAAATCAAAGCCAAGCACCTGATCTATCTTTTTACATTTGGAACTGTCATGTTGGACAGGTGAGGGATATAGAGCTTTCTGCAAGAAATCTGAGACTAGACTTTGTCCCCTAAGATCAGAACTCAGTGAAGGAGGTTTCCGATCTATCCTTTGGCTTCCAAGATGCTTTTAGGTGGACATATATATCCATCGCAATAGGAGCGTGTAAGGCCCTCAGGACCATCATATAAAAACTTAAGCTCAAAATTGAAATTTGTGCCTCCAGAAGCCCCCAAGAAGAACAATTTTCTGTTTTAAGGCTCCTACCCTACTCTGGGTTCCACCAGTTACTAATCTTTACCCACTCAATATTCATAAAAAATATTGTGAGTAGAGTCCATGGTTTTATACGGTACAGGATGACAATTCCATATTATCCTCTGTAGCTATTCATCCATACATTATAAGTTCAGCTTCATTGAGTTACAATTTCCTAGTTCTCCGACTGAATGTACAACGTACTTACATCAAGCGACTCCAAACAGTACCAGCAAAAGGCATGTTTACAGTTTTTACACATCATCTGAGCACACCCTTCATCCCGTTCAATATAAACTTTGCATTTTGGGCACCGCTTGATTGGAGCATCATCTTCTTCCATTTTATAAACAGAGCTGGAAGAGATGTTTTGTAAAAGATGGTAAGAGAAATGTTCTATGGCATTTAAAGCAGTGGTTCTGAAACATTCTACCACTTTGAGACTGGAGCTATTTTTACATGCATTTACATCTGCAATACAACTGTATTCAATGATAGTATTTAATTTTCCATCAAGACAACACAACTTTCTACTTTGCCCTTAAGCCTAAATTAAAATAATTTCAACCAACCATCAATAGACACGTACACCAATGCCTACTGTCTACGAGAGGTATCCAGCAGGTAAATTGAAGTTTGTTTTTTTAAAAAAACTACAGGTCCCAGAACCCCTAGCCATATAGGAACTGCAGCTCTCAAAAGTATTTCTTCCAAACTCTAGTTAGTTGCAAAGAACATTATGTACTACCTTTCAAATTCCATGTGATAGTGCCCTGCTACATGGCTTCCCAATGTTAGGATGTCATAGGCAGAAAAGAACAGTCCACACTCTGATCCCTCAGTAAACTAACCGACCCTTTTGGAAACTAAATAACATTAAAAATGGGGTGGATAGATACATGGAATGGATACTGTGAACCATCACCCTCAGGAAGATCATGGGAAAGAGCCAGGTTGCTTAAAGTAACCACCCTAACAGAACTCAACCTACTGTTCACATCATGGTCAGTCAGCAGTCTATTGGAAGCACATCAGAAAGAGATGAGTGCAATTGCACCCTCCATTCATGCTCCATGGCAACTGATATATAGAAGCATACTGCCTCTCAAATGGAAGTAATGTATTATATAAGTATTACTTGTCCAACAATCTTGGGAATCCCCTTGTGTATATTCCTGGTTTGAAAAGTAGGACAAGCTATCTGCACAAGGTTGGGCATTTTCTTTTTCTTACCTATGACGATGTAAGGGAAAAGGAATTCAGATCTAAAACGATACCCAAGGCAATGGCAGTAAAACTTAGTATTGTTATACTGAGTGGAGTTGCTATTAATGTACAGTATGACCCCCTTATTGACAATTTGACTTACTCAGGTCACAAAAAATATCCTCTACCACCCCACTCGGCAAAGTATTTGTGGGTCTCTCTAGATCAGTGGTTCTCAACCTGTGGGCCCCCAGATGTTTTGGCCTACAACTCCCAGAAATCTCAGTCAGAGTACCAGCTGTTAGGATTTATGGGAGTTGAAGACCAAAACATCTGGGGACCCACAGGTTGAGAACCACTGCTCTAGATCCTGCAGTATGATTCTATGGTAAAGTTCTGGTCAAATATAACACATTTTAAAATATAGGTTCAATAGGTTTGTTCTTAAGTTGAATTTGTAAGTTAGAACAGATATATTTCTATGTGCAACTCCAGCCTCTCTCTGTGTATATATATTCTTTTAGTTTTAGAAAGCATAGGGAAGGGTTAATTCCCCTGTAATATTTGTTTTGCTGTCTGTGTCTCTGATCAGATTTCATCTTATTTTCTGTCCTTATGACAACTAGATTTTAAATTTTTTAGCTTGTTATGGAAACAAAGATTAGTGAGAAAGCTTCAGTAAAGACATCTTTTTCCCATGATAACTCTCCCAGGAGTGAATTTCCCTCACATTCTGTTGTTTCACCCCCATTTGTAACTAGGAGTTTGGTGTAAGTTGGATGTTTGTAGCTTAGGGACTGCAGTCCCAGGAATGTATATGTATCTGTGTGTGTCTTGGAACATATCCCCCACTGATACAGGGATTACACTGTATTGAGGATTATGATCGTCTTTTCCTGCAATGTAAAACCTTGTACCTTGTCTCTCCTGGAAGGAAGTTGACTGGCATATTTTCCTGACAGCCTTGTCCCGGATGCCAATTGGATTTGCATGCTGAGCAGAATTCTATGTCACAAGCTTTGCATTGCACCAGCTGTGGATTCTGAGGTCCTGATTCCTGAAGCTGGCAAACTGCTTGGCAGGAAGAGGATGGACACCAAGTCCGACAAGGATCCAGAAGTATTTCTATAGGAAAATAAGGCACAGTTGGAAATAGATGTAAGCTCAGCAACAGAACATAGGCTTTGCGTGCAAATGGCCTCAGGATGAAGCTCTGGCATCAGGTAGGGCAGCTTAGAATGACTGCTGTCTGATACCTCAGGGAGACACTGTCAGTCTGTGTAAATAACTCTGGTTTAGATGAACAAGTAATGGTGACTTTTTTGTGTGTGTCAGGAGTGACTTGACAAAATGTCAGTCGCATCTGCAAGAATGTTGCCAGGGGATGCCCAGATGTTTTACCATCCTGTGGGAGGCTTCTCTCATGTCCCCACATGAGAAGCTGGAGCTGACAGATGGGAGCTCATCCTGCTCTCCGGATTTGAACTGCCGACCTTTCAGTCAGCAGTCCTTCCATCACAAGGGTTTAACCCATTGTGCCACCGGGACTCCGGGGGCTGACTTAACATAAAGCAACTTCCACTGGCAAAACAGAAACTGTGATATTGACCTTAAATTATGAGGTACCCAAGGAAAAAGACTAATTCACAAAAATATTAACACTGCATTCTGAATGTCTTGGAAATAAGCATTATATTTGGTTGCACAATTCTATTTTGGACAAGATGAAAAAACAGTTGAAACATGAGTCAGTTTCTGCTCTTCTTTCTGCCCTTTTAAGCAATCCATAATGCCACACCTACACTTTGGGAGTTGATTCCTTAGTGATGCAAGTCCTTGGCTAGTATTTTAATTAGTTGGTTTTATTTGCTTTCAGGTACTGAAATGTTTTTTTTTCTTAAGAAATGAAGGAAGCATTTTAAACGTGTATCTCCACCTCTTGATATTCCTGACTGTGCACATCTGAGAATACATTTTATTGAGTGCACTGGTTTTTAAGTAGTTACTCACATGAGTGCATTGTAAATCCCATCCTTTTGCTGGATAAGGCTATAAATTAGGCTGGGGACATAGAGATTCTTACAAGATGTGTTCTCACAAATAAAAAAATAGCATTTAATTTTCAGTTTTCCCACTTTTGTGCGAGTGCTGCACCCCTAACCCTGGCAAATGTGGAGGCAGACCAAAATAATTCAGCAATGCACTTAAAAATAAGACCTTCAGAAGACTCTGAACTTACAAAAGAGACCTATGGGCAGGCTTAGGGCATAAATGAGAGAACAAGAGAGGCAGAAAGTGAGAGGATCTGAAATGGCTTTTCAGGCACAAGCACTTTATCCATCCACATCACCAGGTTTATGAACACCTTAAGAATAAGTAGGGTGTATTCCCATGAACAGTCCCTGGTGGCACAGTGGGTTAAACTGCTGAGCTGCTGAACTTGCTGACCGAAAGTGCTGCAGTTTGATCAGGGAGTGAGGTGAGCTCCCACTGTTAGCCCCAGCTTCTGTCAACCTAGCAGTTTGAAAGCATGCAAATGTGATAGATCAATAGGTACTGCTTCAACGGGAAGATAACAGCGCTCCATGCAATCATGCCAGCCACATGACCTTGGAGGTGTCTACAGACAACACCGGTTCTTTGGCTTAGAAATGGAGATGAGCACCACCACCCTAGAGTCAGACATAACTAGACTTAATGTCAGGGGAAACCTTTATCTTATCCCCATTAAATGCAAATATGTCATCATACAGTCTGGACTAGTTCTGTGTTTTGGAATCAGGGATGCTCCAGCAGTATACTATACCTCTTTCAAACTGCAGCTTCTTATATCTCTGCATGATTTCTGATGCAACCATACATTCAATCTGTTGTGATGAAAAGGAGAAAGGAGAAAGTGATCAATGACCACTGTAACCAAAGTGATATTAGACAGAAGTTACATTATATAACAACAATATACACATGCACACACTAAATGCTGGCAACAACAATTACAGAACAGGGTTGTATGTAAATAAAGTGTGTTATGTTCCCAGAAACGTACTTCATTTTCTTGTAGATGACCTCGCTTTGGGCAGGCAGCATCTGGACAACTAATTGCTGTTTCTAGGCCTTCCTGAATCAAAAGCTCCACGTACTGTTTCAGGCACTGCAAAAGAGACCAGACACAGAATTATATCATACATGTTCACACAACACAGCGGGCTTTCCAGTTGAGGGATTTCCAGTGACTGTGGATCACCATGCCCCAAATTAGTAGATGACAGTGAAATGGAAACATTAAAGTGTTAGTGTTCACGTCACTACTTAATAATATCGGGTATAGTCACATCTACCTTTTTCACAGCTGGATCCCACTATGCATTTGAGAAACATCTTCAAGTGCCAGATACACATAAATGTGAAGACTTATTAAGTGGAGCCCTTCAATGCTGGGAATACCTTCTACCATATTATAAATTTCAAAAAAGTCAGAGTGGAAGCATTGGGCTTTTTATTCTACAAAGTTATTTTCATCCCATTTGGACAGGAATTCACAAATTCTGGTAAGTTCTTGTCAAAAAGGAACCAAACAATTTGTTCAGTTGTTTGTCCTGCAAGTTCAAGAGCCACAGTTATTTCTATCACAGAGAGAACCATATTATATCTGCCTGTTATGTATTGTTAAAAGATAATGAATGTCAGAAAAATGGCTGTGCTAAATTAGTCCTACACAAGACACAAACATAGAACTGAATAACCAAAGTTCTCAGCCAGGATGGACAAATTTATCATTTTCTCTCTTCTCCTCACATTCATTCCTCCCTCTATCTAAAGTTCTTTTTGATGTATTTATGAATAAATAGGCATTTTAATTTTATTTTTGTCAAGAATGAACCCCCAAATGCTCACCCATTCCTAAAGAAGAACAGCCTCCTTGAGCAATTTGTACCATCAGACAACTTCAACATGGTTCAGTTCATAACTTATGACTGAACTATAGTTTAAGTCTCAGGACATTCCTGTTGGCACATCTACTCAGCCCATGTGGATTCACTCCTGTGCTTTCTGGTTCAGGGAGTTTGCTATCATTATCAAAGGTATCGAAAGGTACCAATAATAATTACAGCTAATCCTTAAATGGTTTGTTTCCAATCCAAAACAACCTATGGTTAGGATTATCATACTACTATGTCCAAGTGGGAGGTTTTCTTTGAGTTTATTGCATATTTAATTAACAGCATATCTGAGAAAACAGACATTGAGTTCAGCATCTGCACTGCAGAATTAATACAGCTTGACAACATTTTAACTGTCCTGGCTAAATGCTATGGAACCAGAAGACTAAAGTCCTTGTAGAGAAGGCTAAAGTCCTTGCAGAACTACAGTTCCCAGAATTCAATAGCACTAATGTGGCAGAGAAGGCTAAAGTCCTTGAAGAACTACAACTCCCAGAATTCAATAACACTCAGCCATAGCAGCTAAAGCTGTGTCAAACTGTATTCATTTTACAGAGCAGATGCACACTTGGTCTATGAAAGCTTGTGCTACCATCTTAATTCTTTCAGTCTGTAAAGTGGTACAAGATCCCTTTGTATGCTGATATTGCAGACCAACATGACTAAGTCCATATATAATTTGCAAATGCACAGCATATACGTAAACACAGCTACATGTGTATACACAAACTATATATTTTTCATATTTTAAAAGTAATTTGACACAAAGCTATTGACTAAGCTATGGCTTTATAGAAATGACTGAACCAGGCTCGTGGGTATTAAGGTGGTGGACGACAACAGTGTCACAATTTAGTTTAGGCTAGCCTAGAGGGTTTAGTTCTATTTACTCTGTCATTTTTTACTCTTTTGCAGTGTAAAATTCTTTCAACTGCAGACATCCACAAGCCATATCACAAATTACCCCAGAGTCTGTAAAGCAGTTTGCAATGTGACATAGTAGCTGCTGTTCAAGAAATGCATCCACATCACTCTTGCCACTCTCTGTTCACTTCTTTGCTTCCCTCATGGCTGCTGTTCTGGGCACACAACACACAAGGGTCTATTAGCACTTAAAGCGAGGGAAGGATCTGCTGTTGCTTTTTTTTATGAGAGCACTGGAGTGTTCCCTTCCAGAGGTGAACTGCAGACTCCCACAGACCTTCCTAGGATGCTCTTAGCAACCATTAAGTTGTTCCCAACCTCAAGGATACAATGCCAGAGCATTTTACTATAATCGTTTTTATTTTTATATAGCCCTTTCCACCCACAGTCCTTTATATAAGTACACAAATGAGTCAGGCGTTGGAATAGGACTGCTGGTGGAATGCCCAGATGGCCTTTATTCAGAGTATCGGATAATCCTCCAGTCTGAAAAGTTGCCATCGTTCAGGGTTCTTCCATCATTCAGGGCTCTTTTGTTTTTGTTTTTTTTTTTTGTTTTTGTTTTTTACAAAAGAGACAGAGAGAGCAAGAATTCAGGTTGATTGGGTATTAATGGCTATTTGGAAGAAGTTAATAGTTCAAATATATAAAACTGATTCTGTGCTCCAAATGTGTGGTAAACACTATTTTAAAATGAATGAAAAATATGTATGTGTGCTTCAGCAACTTGAGTATGCCTTTTCCAAAGTGCTTGGAACCGGATTTTTTTTTATTTATTTTTCCACATTTTGGCATGCCTGGTATTGCATATAAGAACATAATGAGATGTCTTGGAGATGGCATTCAGGTCTAACCATTGAATGTATTTATGTTTCCTGTATCCCTTATATGAAAAATCTGAAGGGAATTTTATATCTACTTTAGCAAATTCCCCTTGCGACTATTTTAAAATCCACATTTGTCTTCCTTTCCATGTATTCACATTTATTTATTTATTTATTTACGACAGTCATATGCCGCCCTTCTCACCCCGAAGGGGACTTAGAGCGGCTTACAAGTTATGGCCAGCTTCCATTTTTAATAAACTTTTCATTATTTCCTCCTCGGATACAATTCGATAGGTTGGTCATTACAATATATTCTAATAACCTTTCTCTCCAATAATTTTTAGATAGACCTTTTTCCATGATTTTGCTATTGTCAGTTGGCATTGCAACAAAACTATATCGACAAATTTCCTCATCTCTTTTACTAATTCTCTTTCTAAATATTCCTAAAAGGCACATTTTGGATTTTTCTTAACTTTTTTAGTGATTATTTTGTTTCCTTAATAATCTTTTTCCAAAAATCTTGTACCATCTTACAGGTCCACCAAACATGGAAGAATGTGCCTTTTTGTGTCTGGTACCACAAGCATTACCCTAGCTGGGTTTTTTCCATTTTGGCTATGGTCTCTGGTGTTATATAACATCTATAAAACATCTTATACATAGTTTCTTTAATGGAGCCAGCTATTGAGAATGTAAATACACTTTTCCAAAGATGCTCCCAATTCTCCAGATCAATATTTTTCCCTAGGGTTTTAACCCAGAAGATCATAGCAATTTTATTTCGTTGTCCTTTAGATTGTATTCTATTATATATTTATATAATCTAGAAACCAAGCCCTTATTCCTCTTCTCAAGAATATCTTCTAACGTAGATTTCTGTTAGCAAACCCTACCTTAACAGCTTTCCTAAATCGATCATGCAGTTGATGGTAGTAGAACCAGTCACTTATCCCTATCTCATCTCTCAGTTGGATCTCCATGTAGTACTTCTAGTAAAATTTGATTCAGTCTATTTGCTAGAACTTCTGCAAAAAGCTTATAGTCACAATTTAGTAACAAGATTGGTCTAAAAAATTTGACTTGCTCCATATCTATCCTGCTTAGCAATAATAACTATAGTGGCCTCCGCCCATGAATCTGGGATCTCTCCTTTCTGCAAAACCTGATTCAATACAGAAAGCAATAGTGGGGCCAGTTCTTTCTTTTATAGTATCAAGCAAAAAATCCATCTGGACCTGGGGCTTTATTTATTTTGACTTTGTCAATAGCCTTAAACAGCTCCTCCTGTGTATTTGCCTATCCAGTTCTATTTTCATTTCCTCTGTGAGCTTAGTGGCATTCATTTCTTCCAGATATTGATCAATCTTCTTTTTATCTATCTGATTACTTTTATATAGATTTCTATAATAGTCTTCAAATGTCTTTTGAATGTGTCACATATCTGTAATTATTTCTCCTTTATTCCTTAACTTTAGTATTAGCTACTTTTTCCTACATTCTCTCAGTTGCCATGCTAACAGTTTTCCTGGTTTGTTTGCATTTTTAAAAAATTATGTCTATTATACATAATCTTCCAATTTAACTCGTCCATGAGTAACAAATCATATTGCTGTTGTAATTTAGTCAATTCTTGTTGCAATTTATTCTGAGCCTTCTAATTATTCTCTAATTCTTCCATTCTAGATCCTATCTAGTAACTCTAGGGATAGCTGATTGCCAGTGGGGCTGGATTAGATTACCTGGGTTCCTATGATTAGACACTAGAGGAAGCTAAACAGTGTTAAGGAAAGAAAAAAAAGATCACCACCCTACCTCTGGGACACACTATTGTTTGCCAATCTGGTTGCACTTTAGAAAAAAAACATTTTTATTGTTTTCTTTAGCTTTCAATGTGCTGTGGTGCTGCTGGTTGGTTTTTTTCTGCTTCGTGTTCTGTTTTACTCTGGTTTACCAACTATTTTTGTTGCCTCATTGTCAGCTGGCTTATGAATCAACTGCCTTGTGAAACAAACAGGACACTAATGTTATAAAAATCCATGAATACGTGAGAATAATTCAATATCCTTTACCCACGCACTATACCTGAAAAGGTTTTCTATGGCAACAAAAAATCTGCTGTATGGCAGGCATCTTTTCAGTCTCATACTCTGGTTCTCCCTCCTCCATCTTTTCCCCCCAAGACAATAACTAGAAACTGATGATTGATTTATTTACCATTTGGCAATTGATTCATTGGGTGTACTCACTGGGATTAGCAAATGGATTTAGATTACTGGTTTTTGTAATTTTTCTTCCTAGATACATAATGATGTCTTTTGAGAGGTCATTAGTCCATTCCTTTTTTTTTTGGAAATAATAAATGGGAAATACAACAGAAAGGAATACGTTTTAATGACATTTAGCTTTCACAGAACACTTTTAGTGATGAGTGCATTTTGCCATTATGAATTATAATTTTTTTTAAAAAAAGCTTCCCCCCACATTTAAAAAAATTGTCAAAGTTAGTAAGGATTTTCTTTCTTAACATCTCCAATTAAAAGTCAGTCATTTGGCCCTTAGGAGTTTTTTTAATAGGATCACAGGGCGAATTAATGTATTGGTCACTTTGTCACCCCTGCTGGACTTGTTTCCTATTTCTGAAAATACCTAGGTCCACTGTACTCTGCAGACAACATTCCACACTGCACTTACCATATATTCTCGTATTTAAGTGAAACTCAAGTGCAAGTTAAGGGCAAGTTTTGAGGCCACAATTATGGGTTTTTATATGATCTTAAGGCCCCCCTGGTGGCGCAGCAGGTTAAACCGCTGAGCTGCTGAACTTCCTGACCAAAATGTTGGCGGTTTGAATCTGAGGAGCAGGGTGAGCGCCTGCTGTTAGGCTGAGCTTCTGCTAACCTAGCAGTTTGAAAACATGCAAGTGTGAGTAGATCAATAGGTACCGCTTCTGCGGGAAGGTAATAGCGCTCCATGCAGTCATTGCTGGCTACATGATCTTGGAAGCATTGACGGATAACACCAGCTCATTTATATGATCCTGATCTGGAATGGCTGAGGGAAAGAGTCATGTAAAAAATGAAGCAAAGGCAAACAATGCAAAAAAACAAAAAACAAAACTGGCAATCACTATCATTTTCTCACTTAAACGTTCTATCAGGCTAGATGAATCACAATAGCGAAGGAAGCAGAAGTGGTCAGTGCTTCTTTTAGACTGTCCCAGGTGGGAATAAGTTCTCACCTTTTGCCATTCTGTTCAGAGAACAGGATAAGAACTAAATTGACTCATGGAAAAGTCATCCCAGGTTTTTTTTTCTATCAGCTTTTTGACTAAAAATTCTAGATTTATGCATGTTTGTTTTCAGTGCAAGGGAATCTCATCAAAGGGTTGGAAGAGGCCTCATGGGCCTTTGAGTCCAATCCACTATTCAATGAAGGATTTCCAGCTGAAGAATTCCTAGCAGGTAGCCGCTCAGCCTTTTTTTTTTTTTAAGATGCCAAGAAAAGGATACCTGGCACATTTCTAGGCAATTGCTTCCATTGCTGAACCACTCTTACATTCAAGAAGTTTCTTCCAAAATTCAATGAAAACCTTAGACTTGGTCCTATCCTCTGGGCAGCAGAGAACAACAGGATGATCCTCTCCTCTCTGTGACAGCCCTTAAGGTATGAAGTTCAGGGGCACTGAAGTGTTTTTGAGTCAGCTCACACAATCTACAAAGCAATGCAATGGGGTGTGTCTGTAAACTGACTCCATTGCCCTCCTAGAAGTCAACTCCTCAGATATAGGCATGGTCGGCAGAAAGTGAGCATCAATATGAGAGAAACAGGGCAATGTCAGTGGCACTAATCTTCCTAGCTCTCTTCTGTATTCAAAAGATGCTTGAGGAGTAGGCCTGTGAGCAATGGCACATAACAACACTATAGCCTTGTTCTGAGAGGGCAATGTTAAGAAGAAATACTGTGAAGGACACCAGAGGTTGAGGAAATGGAGCAGAGTGCCTTTGGCCTCCATAATTACTTGCAATAAGTTAAGAACTGGGTAATTAACTTCCAAATGAGAAGCCTAAGAACATATAGCTCCTTTCAACTGATAGGAATGCCATGCTACCACTCTGCCTGTTTTCTACATACACCAAAAGAGAACAGATTGACAGCTTTGGAAAGCTCTAATATTCTCCCCACCCCCACACCAGACGAACCTAGGCTTAAAAATGGGCCCATTTCTGGAACCCTTAAGTATCAGGCTAATCCCGCTCAGCTGGCCAGAAGCAATTTCCTGCACAACATCAGTGCATTTTTAATCACAGCTATGACTTGTGCCAGGATTTTGAGGGAGACACAGGGATGTTTCCTTAAAAAGGCATTTGGCTATAAGAGAACATCATCATTCCCTCACACACTCCCCCACCCTAGTTCTCTTGCTTGCGTCAAAATCCAATGCTAGAGTCACAAGGACACCACATCCTTCCTCTGCCATCACATCTGAATCCATCCCACCAGGTCACAGAGACACACAATCTACACTACCATCCATATATAAAAAGGCTAAGAGCAGTGGCACCAATTTTGGATTTTTTTTTTTAAAAAAAAATAGATTTCTATTCAGATGCAGCAATGATTTCAGTTCAAGTGCCCCAAGTGTATCTACAGCATAAAACTACATTCTCTGTGTCAGGAGCAACTTGAGAAACTGCAAGTCGCTTCTGGTGTGAGAAAACTGGCCGTCTGCAAGAACGTTGCCCAGGGGAAGCCCAGATGTTTTACCATCCTTGTGGGAGGCTTCTCTCATGCCCCCACATGGGAAGCTGGAGCTGACAGAAGGGAGCTCATCCTGCTTTGTTTAAAAAGAGGGTGCAGAAAAATCATAGTAGACATGATACTAAACATGACATTTGTCACATGTGGGAAAAAATCTTGAAAAATAATAGAAGTGGAAGATACCACAAAGGCAACCTATACAACTCTGTTGCACAGGAACAGACAACCAAAGCAGCCCTAACAGACAGCCCTCCAAATTTCCCAGAGAAGGAGACTGCAACACATGCAGAGGCAGTATATTCTCCTATCTGTAAGGAAATTTCCCTAATGTTTAGGTGGAATCTCGTTTCCTGGGTAGTTGGGTCTCTACATTCATGGAGTGGAGGGATCCTACAAATGTGGGAAATGTGAATAACTCTGGATCCCCCCTGGCAGGGTCCAGGTGGGGTAGTAGTCACTACCATCAAGGTCTCCAAAGATCTTGCTCACCCTGCCTGCCCCTTCCTCTGTCTACTTACCTTTTCTGCCTCTCTCTTCAACAACTGGGAGGCATTTGGAGGGCAGCTGAGACAAGCTACAAGGAGCCAGCCATTGGTTTTTGCCTTTGAAAGGAGCAAAGACAAGCGCTTACCTTTGCTCTTTCTGACACCAGAAGCCAATTGTTGGTGTACAAGCAGGGCAAAAAAGCAGGGAAGGTGAGCAAGACCCCTTGGAAGCAAGGCGGAGGTAGCAGCTGACAGATGATGGAGGTCAGTGGGTGCACTCTCGTGGATAGCCTCCCCTACTAATGCCCTTGTCAGTCTCCCTCACCCAAAAAGAGATGCAGGGAGGATGGGCAGAGAAAAATGCAGAAAGGTTGTGAGTCCCCTGAGGACCATGGTGGCAGTGGCAACACCCTATCTCCCCTCCATGGTCCTCGCTGCTCCTGAGAGGGTCTGGGGAAATATTAGTGGATTTTGCACATACATGGGATTCCTCTGCCCCTTATCCTCACCAGTTATTCCTACTGGTGCAGCTTAAAATCACATTGTCTTTTTACACCAGCTGTAATACACTGCTGCAGTCACTGCACATTTCACAGGTGGAATGTACATGCCTATAGAGACTCAGCCTTAGTGAGACCTAAGAAGGGTGTGTGAACACAAAAGGGGCTGGAGCTCAAGTGTATCCTCTGTCTGCATCGAACTCACCAGAGTACAGAAGATGCATTGGCATTGTGCTATTGTTGTCATCTGCTCCACTGGATACTCCCCAAGGCAGAGCTTACATGACACCAGGGGGTCAAGCACCAAGTCCCAGGTAGGTCGATATCTTGCTGTAGTCATTGCAGAATAATCTGAAAATACAATCAGAAGTCTATCAATAAAGCTGAAATAAAAAACCGAAAACTCAAACAGACTGGCAATCAATTAAGCCAAGATGAAAGTAATAATATAAACCAGAAAGAACTTCTAAGAAAATAGCTTCTCACAAGTACTTGAAGAGAGAAAGGGGAAGTTATGAAGCAAATAAGAAAAGGGAATTATTTCTCTTTTTATACAAGAATTTATTTTTTGAGAAGACCACACCAAGTAGATGGAAGTCAAAATACCCCAAGATTTTTTTCTTTTTGTGTGTTTTTTTCTTCTCTTTTTTCTTTTTTCCTCTACCTCTTCTCTTTCCCCCCTTTTAATACACTTTATAAAACAATTCTGTGTTATTAATTAAAAGTATTTTTAAAATGAATAAAAATAAAATTGAAATAAAATGTGTCCAAAATGTTAAGAAATGTATGGTATACTTGAGATGGAGAATTTCCTCTAAGTGTACATAAAAATATGTTCACAAAAAAGGGCATCCTATTTATTGGGTGTTCCATATACAGATATGAGTCACTGACTCTGTGCTATAGTTTGGTTTATGAAACCAAGGTATTTATCACTGTCCCAATGGCTCTGGCGCTCAATTACTACTCTCAATTTAAATTGAAATGCACAGGTCAGACAACTGTGGCCCTACAGATGGCAGTGGACTCCAACTCCCACGGGCACCAGCTAACATTGCCAATGGTTAAGTGTAATCAAGTTTGGCCAAGCTCTCCAATGGCCTGCCACCAACTGTATTATACGTTTTAAATGTTTAATTGCTTATTATTATTAGCGTTATTAGAGAAATGTGTCCCAATTGTTCTATTGGTATTTTTAAATTTCTAATTTGTTATTCTTGAGTTGTTTTATAAGTGTACCCCGATGGTGTTTATTTGACTGTCTATGATCTGATGTGTTTTGTTACGTTTTTCTTGGTATTGAATGTTTGCCAATTTTTGCTGTAAACTGCCCTGAATCCCTTTCAGGTGATAGGGCGGGATAGAAATAAAGTGCTGTTGTTGCTGCTGTTATGGCATTTGGGAAGGAAGTAATGAAGACTTTGCTACGAAATCCTCTTTTGATGTTTTTCTTACGTTCTGTATGTCATTAACATACTTAATAAAAAAACTTTTAAATTTTTTTAAAAAAGGAATAATGAGAGTTGTGGTCTAATATGTAAACCACAGATTCTTCTCACTTGCTGTAATGTAATACATGCTATAAATGCCTGGAAAGAATATAAGGCAATAGATGGCTTTACACACCCACATAATTTATCTGTGCTGGCCAAATAAATGATTTTAACAGAGATGGCCAATGTTACTGGCACATATGCTACAAGTGAAGTCCAAAGGTTCAGGCAGTGCTACTGTAATGGCCAAAATCCAATTGTTAAGTGTCAAATAGAATCAATGGGGACTTGGTAAGTCAACACTTATGTAGATTCCAAAATGGATTTTTTAGCTCAAATTTCAACTAATTTAAGCTAATATGAGGAGAGAGAGGAGATTCCATCTGAACATTAGGAAGAACTTCCTGACTGTGAGAGCCGTTCAGCAGTGGAACTCTCTGCCCCGGAGTGTGGTGGAGGCTCCTTCTTTGGAAGCTTTTAAACAGAGGCTGGATGGCCATCTGTCAGGGGTGATTTGAATGCAATATTCCTGCTTCTTGGCAGGGGGTTGGACTGGATGGCCCATGAGGTCTCTTCCAACTCTTTGATTCTATGATTCTATGATTCTATGTCAACATTTCTATGGTGGTTAATTTGTCACAACATACACATCTTGGAATCACTATGATTTTCCATTGTTATAAACCCTATTACTGTAATTACTTTGATGCCAATTTTATTTTTCCCTCTAAACAGTTTTAATTAGTTACAGTGCTTTCTTGTTATGTATAATTTTGTGTATACTATTATTTCTTTCACAAATATATTTCAAAATTGTAAAACAAAATAACTTCAAAAAACCATAATGCACATACAGTTGTGTCTCCACATTTACAAGCTTCACTTCTGCAGTTTTGCATAATATGTTCTTTCGAGCAATCCCTAAGTCCTCTGGTGTAACTCATTGGTCAACTTCCGCCAGAGGCTGACCACAGAGTCATGCTGAAACCGTAACATTCAGTATGGTGAAGCAACTACCTGGAGCAACAGATTTAATTACAGAATCCTACAGCTGGAAGAGACCCCAAGGACCCCCTGCCGTGCAGGAACACACAATCAAAGCACTACCAACAGATGGCCATCCCTCTTTGTTTAAATGACAGAATTATAGCTGTAGTGGGCAAACTCATCAAAATGTAGACAGCATATACAATGTTACACTGAATCCCTAGATCCTAAGAGGAGCATATGTGTCTGGGAAACCAAGCAGCTGAACATTTTGGAGCAAAATAGGTTGAGCAACCCTTTATCTAAAATGTCTGGGACCAGAAGTGTTCCGTATTCCAGACTGCCCCCCCCCCCAATTTTGGAATTACTGTATATATGTAAAGAGTTATCTTGGAGATGGGACCCAAGTCTAACCATAGAATTCAATAGTGTTGCTATACAAAGTCAGAAGGTAACTATATACACAATATTTTAATTGACATGCATGAAACAAGTTTGTGTGTGTTGAACCATCGTAAAGCAAAATGTCCCACCCTACCCTATCCTTCTCTTTCTTTCTGAAACTTCCCTATTATAAACACAGAGAGGGGAGCTCTTTAAACCAATGGCACATATCCCACTCTTGCTAAATCTTTTCTCCCCTGCAAAGGCATTTACTATTATGGGTTTGAGCATACCAGTCTTTTCTGAGATCCTCTATTTTCCTTCTTGCAACTAAAGATCTTTTCAGCTTTCTCTAAACAGGTTAAAGGTGAGAAAAAAGTTAATTTGTACTTCTTAGCATCATTCCCATTTTTGAAGGCTCAAATTTGTTTGGGGGCCTCTAACTGAGGGGAAAAGTGGCTAATGATAGCCTTGCTCAATAATCTAACTACAGGTTAAAGCTGAACCTGAGGTTACTTTGAGTTTCTAGCCAAAAACCACCCCCACCACGAACTTTACTCTGGTTACAGCAAAGGTCAGTGTGCTAAATTCGCTACCCAACACTCCTTCCCCAGCCAAAGCCAATGCTCAGTGGCATTCAGAAGCTCTGTGATTCAACAGACATGTATGCAGTCATGCTCCATTTTAAATCTTCTTAATTCATTTGTAATCACATTTTCACACCTAAGTTGGAGGAAGCAGGAAATAAAATGCAAATCCCAAGGTTTCTAGTTTGTCTTCTATAGGGGGGAGTCGAAATAAATTAAGGGTACATCTACCCTGCTGGCTCAAATATAACTTTAAAATGGACCCAAGATTTGCACGATGCAGCATTGTTGCTTTCCCATTCCCCAAAAACAAAAACTGTCAAAATGTGGAGATTTGACTTTACAATTTATTTCTGTTTTTGATTCTCAGATTAAACTGCTGAGCTGCTGAACTTACTGACCGAAAGGTTAGCAGTTCGAATCCGGGGAGTGGGGTGAGCTCCCGCTGTTAGGCCCAGCTTCTGCCAACCTAGCAGTTCAAAAGCATGCAAATGTGAGTAGAGTAATAGGTACTGCTATTGTGGGAAGGTAACGGTGCTCCATGTAGTCATGCTGGCTACATGACCTTGGAGGTGTCAACGGACAATGCCGGCTCTACAGCTTAGAAACGGAGATGAGCATAACCCTCCAGAGTTGGACACAACTAGACTCAATGTTAGGGGAAACCTTTACCTTACCTGAAAGTAGGAACGTTAGAAACATGTCTCATGTATTCCTATCCAAGACAACAGTCTATCTTGGTTACAACCAAGCTCTAAGTTATTCTGTATTACTGTGCTACTGTGCTACTTTCTTTTAGCTTACACAGAACAAGCCACCATACTCTTTCCAACATACAAGTTCTCTGTATGAGAAAGAACACTTTTATACTCTTGGGCCCCACCCCTCCCCACTGATCTCTTCTTGAATAGTTCTGTATCTAAACAAATTAAAAATGCAGCATTTCTAGCTCAGAAGAGGAGCTTGTTGGCGAGAGGGGGGAAACGGGCCTTTGGTTGCAACCCAGAGAACAAAGAGCCTTGTTTACTTGTTAGTAAGCAAGTGGGAGTAGAACACTTAATATTTTGAAATCCAGGGTGGTGTTATTTCCTGTTTAGAAAGGCACTGTGGATAAAGTGTGTGTACTTCCACAAGGCGCACAGTAAGAGGGGGACAGGAAAATGTCACACCTCAGGAAAACAAGCCATAAGCAGACTTCAGCAAAGTTACTTTTTTTGGATGGCATTTCTCAGAATCCCTTCCCTGACATTATGACCAAAATACTTTTCCAAAACACAGCATATGAATTTGTTCTGTTCACTTACATTATCTCAGGGTGTATCTACACCGTAGAATTAATGCAGTTCAACACCACTTTGTTTCCCATGGCTCAATGCTATCGAATGCTGGGAGTTGTGGATTAGTGAGGGACCAGCATTCCTTGTCAGAGAAGACTAAAGACCTTGTCAAACATATTGCACTTTCTGAGTACACTGGTTGGCATGTTTCAGGGAGTTTTAATATTCACAAATAATTTCAGGAGTGGACAGGACAGTATTCCCAGCTTATCTCCTGCCCAGAATCCCAATACAATTGCTGATTGATTGTAAACCATCTAAGTATTTCTTACTTATGGAATGTGAATAAAGTATTCTTGTTCCATTCAGTGATATGTTACTTCTTCTTATGTGCTTTCAAGTCACTGCTGATTTATGATGATCCAAAGGCTTTGCTTGCCAAGATGTCTTTAGAATGGGGTTGTCATTGGCTTCCTCTGAGGCTGAGAGAGTGTGGCTTGCAAACAATAATTCATAATGTGTGTGTGTGTGTCCACTCAACATAAACATAAAATCTGGTGACCCTGTTACAGATGCTAAAATTAATAAGCGGTAGGCACTGAAAAGATATTCTCAGTCGGTTT